GCAGCCCCAGCCAGCCCCCCCTGTACCCCCCAAACTTACAGCTCCAGGAAGATGAAATACTCTTTGCGGGTGATGTAGACATCCACCAGCTGCAGGATGTTGGGGTGCTTTACCCTGTGGAGAGGCAGGGGCATGGGTGGGGGTCCCCGCTTTGCCCAGCAGTACTGGAGACCCCTGCCAGACCCGGCCCTCACATTTTGAGGATGATGATCTCGTTTTTGGCTGCCTTCCGCACTTTCCGCCCATCCCGCTTCAGAAACTTCTTGCAGGTGTACAGCTTCCCCGTCGTCTTCTCTTTTGCGCGGAAGATTTCGCAGAACTCCTCCCTGCAAGGTGAGCCACAGCCGTCACCCCCCCAGGGATCACTGATCTCGAGGTGCTCAGGTGGTCCCCAGGACCACCAGCACCCCCCCTCCATTCCCAGCAGCAAAGGGCGATGCCACATGGATAGAAGGAAGCTGTGGCCAAAAATGCCTCCGGAGCAGCGGGGAAAAAAAAGGGCAGCAAGAAGGAATCAACACAGAATAAGCAAATTGATAGGGAAGGGGGAAAATTGCTGATTAAAAAGCCCCCTCTCCACAGTGGCTGGGGGAGGGCCCCCCCCAGGGGGGGGGGGGGCCCCCCCCGCCATGAAGCCAGCTGTGCTGAGGTGGAATAGCAGCACGCCTCAACATAAATGTCAGCGCCGCGGTCGAGAAGAAAGAAGGGGAGACGTGCCGGCTGCCTGGGGATGCTGAAATATCTCTGTTCTATTATTAATGGCGCTCCAGCCCATCGGCCTGACCAGAACTGTGGGAAAGCCCCCAGCATCGCTCTGGCAAAGCCTTTACCTTTCCAATCCTCCTGCCTCAGCTGCACCGAAATCCTCGTGGCAGCTGCCCCGGGTTCAGGGGAATGGGGAGACCCGTGGGCTTTGGGAAGGGCTGCTCAGAGGATGGAACAAAGCTCAGAGAGCACCCAAAAAGATCCCCACTGCCACCCAGCATCACCCCACCAGGTATGACCCATGGCCAAGCTGTCCCGGCGTTTTGGAGGCTGATGGAAGGAAATTCTATTGCGTATTTCGGGGTCTCAGCAGGTCTAAGGGCTTCATTTGGTGGAGCGTTTCCTAACGGCTCCCCCAGCACAGCAATAAAAGTTGGAGGGAAGCAGCAGCACTCTGCTCCCCCCTTTCAAATGCCACCTGCCTTTTCCTGTGCCGGAGCAGAGCCCTCCTGCTTCCCGGAGCACTGGGGGGAGCCGGGATCGTGCGGAATTGCTGCAATCCCGGCGGAGCTTGCGGGGAGGAGGGAGAGATACGGGGAGCCGCCCGGCTCGGTGTGCTCCTCGGAGCCGTCGGT